GCGGCCCACGTAGTTGAACCACGCCTAGCAGCCGCACACCGCGTGTCGGCACCGACCGGTGAGCCGCAAAGACACCTCGGCTCATCTCGGCTCATCTCGGCTCATCTCGGCTCCATCTCGGCTGCTGGGCGGCGGCTCGGCTCGATCTCGGCTGCAGCTCAGCTGGGGCTGCGCGGCGGCTCGGCTCTCTCTCGGCGGCATGTCGTCTGCATCTCGGCGGCGTGACGGCAGGATCCGGAAGTGAATAATGACCTCTGAGGTATCCCACGCACCGGCTGCGCGTTTAGCCTGGCAAGGAAGCGCTCCCGCGCCTCGATGTCCTGCGTGATCCTCGCCTGCCCTTCCAGCTCGCGGCGGAGGAACTCGGTGCTCTCCTCCCCGCGTTTGATGCGCGCCTGTGAGAGGGGGGGGGGCGGGAGGTGGAGACGAGGGACGGACGGACGGACGGGCGGAGAGAGCGAGAGGCGGCGAGCGGGCGTCAGAGAGCAAGAGAGCGGGAGCGGAGGGAGGGAGAGGGGGAGAGAGGGAGGGCGGCGCTGGAGAGGTGAGCGAGGCAGGGCGAGGGGCCCGCGCCTCCAGCCCCTCCTTGTCGCGCGCCAGCGCCTCCTCCAGCTCGCGCGCCTACGGCAAGCCTCCCCGGGAGAAGTCCGGAGGCGCGGTGGGGTGGCGGCCGTGTCCCGTCTCTCGCGCCTTTCGCTGCCGGTCATCGACGGACCGCTTGAGCTGCGCGAGCTGCGCCTGTGGGAGGCGGGGGCGTGGGTCGGGGAAGGGCCCGCGCCTCCCGCGTGCGAATTGGCCGTCGACTTGAGGATCGAGAGAGGTGTGCGTGCGTGAGAGGTGCGGCCACAGAGGCTGCTGTGCTGGCGCCTCAAACTGCTCTGCGAGCGCCTCGCCCGCTGTCTGCTCGACGGGCTTCGCGCCGGCGCCGGGCCGCTCGAGGTTGATGCGGGAGCGCGCGGAGAGCGAGGTCAGGTTGCGCGCCGGCGCCTCCGGCAGCTCCACCCGCACGCGAGACCCCCCGAGAGAAGTTTGCTGCTCCTCGAGGTCTCTGATCCGCTGCTCGAGCGTGACGATGTCGGCGCTGGTGGCGTCGATCTGCTGCTTGACGACGCGCTGCGCCTCGACGCGCTGCTGCCCTCGCCGCTTCTCCTGCTCGTACTGCTGCAGCAGCCCCGCCCGCTCCGCCTCGATCTGCAGCCTGAGCGCCTCTGCCTGCCGCGGCGTCAGCACCGACTCAATCTGCTTCCGCTTCTTGGGGGTGAGGTCCTGCAGCTTCTCGAGCTCGATGGAGCCCAGCACGGGCGGCGATGTGACTGCTCCCCGCGCCGAGCCGAAGCTCGCCTGCGCCGGCCGCGGCGCCAGCGCCAGCGATGCGGCCGCACCGCCGATCGCGAGAATGTTTCGCCGCGACAGCGAGCCGAGCGCGGGAGCGTCTCGCCACGGGCTCGGCTGCGGCAGCGCAGATGCATCCCGCAAGGGAGGTCGACCGAGCGCAGCAATGGCTGTGCCAGGGAAGAGCAGCCAGCCAAGAGCAGCCCGAGAATGGACCATTTCTGGATATTGCCCCGGGTTTTGGCCTGAAATGGGTGGGGTGACCAGCGTTGGTCAGATGAATAGCGTACCTACCTACCTAATAGCGTGCCGTCATCATCTGTCCAGCGTCCACCCATGCCGCCTTGGTGTCCAGTCCGAGCCTGGCTGTTCTTCACCTTCCTACATACATACATACATACAGATGAATAGTGCGGCCCGACAGCGAGGGAGGATCCGGAGGGTGGGAGCACCAAATAGGAGCCCCCCACTAGTGCGTCGATCCTATGATAGAAAGGCGAGAGAGATCGCCTTTGGTGCCCAGATAGATCGCCTTTGGTGCCCGTCTCATCCGCCGCTACTCCGCGCCGCGCTGCGCGCCCCCTCCCGCCGCCTCCGCCTCCCCCTCGGCCTCGCTTTTGCAACATCCTGCATAGGAGGTCATTGCCTCAAATGTCAAAATCAGGGACACGGGGTGTCTGACACGGCGGGGCGCGCCGACACCGCGCACCGGCAGCGCCGGGCCCGGGGGAGCGGCGCTTTCTTGGCATTTGTGGGCGGTTCACGCAAACGTAAGCAGCGCGTCCGACTCCGAGGCCCGAGAGCAGCGTGCAGCGTCGCCGCGCCGCATGGCGCGTGCGCCAGGCACCCGTAGCGGCGCCAGGAAAAGGGCCCCACGTCACGTTTGCCCCGCCCGGAGGACAACAGGCTTTTTTTACAGATAGTCACACAGGGGGCGTGGCCTCCTCCCCCTCCTCCGCAACCATCGCTGCGCCTCGGCGCAAAGCCAAAGAGCGGGGCGTGCGCGGAGGCATGCACCGCCCCCGTATCCCTCTCGGGTTCGATTTACAGCACGGTGCCGGCGGCCGAGGCGATGCGGGGCCACAGGTCGGCGCACTCCTG